TGCTACCAGAAGCTGTGCCAGTATTGCTGACACCACCGGTAACTATGTGTCACAATTACTGATGCCACCAGAAGCTGTCAGTATTGCTGACACCACCGGTAACTATGTGTCACAATCACTGATGCTACAGAAGCTGTGTCAGTATTGCTGACACCACGGTAACTATGTGTCACAATCACTGATGCTACCAGAAGCTGTGTCAGTATTGCTGACACCACCAGTAACTATGTGTCACAATCACTGATGCCACCAGAAGCTGTCAGTATTGCTGACACCACCGGTAACTATGTGTCACAATCACTGATGCCACCAGAAGCTGTCAGTATTGCTGACACCACCGGTAACTATGTGTCACAATCACTGATGCCACCAGAAGCTGTCAGTATTGCTGACACCACCGGTAACTATGTGTCACAATCACTGATGCCACCAGAAGCTGTGTCAGTATTGCTGACACCACCGGTAACTATGTGTCACAATCACTGATGCCACCAGAAGCTGTGTCAGTATTGCTGACACCACCGGTAACTATGTGTCACAATTACTCGATACTGGTAACTGTATTGCACACGAAAGAGGCATCACAATCACTCCCTACTGGTAACTGTGTGTCACAACCACTAACCTTTGTCCTACTGCAGAGTTCAATCCAGCATGAGAGTCGAAATCCTCACCAATGTAATTATGTCATGATTACCTAACAAGAGACACAAATCACCACAATTCAATCCCACTTCATGCCCATAACAGGGGTCACATTGTAATCTCCATGTACACTGATCACCACAATCCATCTACACTGATAGACTACATGTACAATTAGTCACTGAGTAAGCCTGTAACCTAAGCCAGGTTTTGCAACAGTCCATACAACAAATAGTCTTATTTTCTATTTCTGTGCAGATGTACTAGTGTCCTCCTGTCATACTCTGGCCACTTGATCAATTACAGTAACAGGAGTATTCAAGTCATGTCGTTAAATCTATGTTAAACACACCAAAACTAATTGGGATCGACTTGCAGAACTCTGAACAAAGTACTAAAATGTATGGAGATGTCACTTCAAACACATATCCAAGGGATAATGAAATTTGACTTGATACCAGAACGGGATCTTGTGCAAATTTAATTACACCATTGACAGCTGATCAGATCCCAACCACAGTGTGAGTGAGTGACTGACTCCCCAGCAAGGTGTCTTGGGATGTATGGTGGCCTGCAAGCCAAGCTAGGGCCTAGTACACAGTGCTGCAACCTCTTGCTTGATGGGAGCATATGCAAACATAACATCAGTTCAGACAATAAATTGTATCAAAGCTGAAAGTCTGCCCTGTGATCTTCAGGCTACCTTCTTCAATGATGGAAAGAAGAGACACAAGCATTTCACAAACTATCAAAGCAGCAAATTCATCACAAATATTACTTGTTGGTTTCTTGGTTTGTATGTCAGTGACAATCATTGTACCAGAATTGTATGGGACTGGCATATCTACCCATGCCATCTAGGTACACCAGGCAATGGAATCAGCCAGATCACAGCTTCTCATATGGTCATATCTCATCCTAGTGCTTCCACAATCAGTACTTAATGAGGCTTCCTGGGGTTGCTTCCACAAAGAGTACTACTGCCATAACTCACATACTCTAACTCAGATTTACGATAGTAATTGCTCTAGAGTACTCTCTGGAATGGACCCTGATCTGTCACCTCATAGTCATATGCAAAGCAGAAACTGACCTCTGAACAAATTACTTGTTAGCTAACTACTAGACATTTATCTCACCCTTACTACTACTGTGTGGGTGAGTGAGTGAGTGAGTGAGTGTGAGTGATGTTACACTTGCAAGGGTGAGGCCTGTTATGAGAATGTGTAGGATGTTACACTTGCAAGGGCAGGCCTGTTACGAGAATGTCTTACAAGTACAATTTTACACTTGTGACTAAAAATGACCACGATATTGTTTCCACAACCACACCTTCAACATTGATTTTCAAGTTTTCAACTTCGCAATCATCTACAACATAATGAACTTCATATCTACAAATTTGATACATACAACGTACAAACCTCCTTTCCTTTCACAAATAGATGAAAGAAGCAGACAAAACAATGCAAGTATCTGCAACAAATGAGTCAGGACCCTGATACATTGGGGAAGTTCCACTAATCAAACAGTTCTAATCCCAAAAGAAACGACAGAAACAGTTTAAGACATCAGCTGTAAGGTGAGTCATAGTAGGGGTGGCTCCATTAATCAAATAGGTTTAATCCATAATGTGACGACAGAAACAGTTTAAAACATCAGCTGTAAGGTGAGACTTACTCAAAACATGACGTCATGTACATATACTTCAATGTTTGTTGCAACGTTCCTATCTATCTGTGTAGGCAGGCTCAAAAATAGACACTGCTAAAACCAGGTTACTTCTAACGCAATACTGTCAAAATACTCAAGAAGATTTGGGTGATTGTCAAGTTGTTCTCAATACCATAGTTAGATCCTCGGATCCTTGCAACACCTTCAAGTAACCAAGAAAAAACAACAACATGTGAAGCTCAGATATTATTAAAGCCACTTTGTTAAGGGGCAAAAAGTATCTGAGTAAAAACACCCTGAAACTCTGTCACAAACACCAAAGCTGTTTTTCCATAAAAAGTTTCCTTTAAGGTAGTGCTACAAATATAGAGGGATCTGAGGGTCTGGTGTCTTCTTTTTGAATCTGGGGACCTATTAAATCTTTTACTCTGAACAATACTATAGGTTTGTGACAAGGATACCTTGAATTAATGACTAATTTTTAAAAAAATGGAGAAATATTTCGAAATGAATACTGCATCATGACTGACTTGATGTTTCATCAGTCACACTGCTTCTGTCAGAAAGGGGGGTGGGTGAACACTGACAATTCCATGGTGGTCAGAAGCATCATCACTGACTAAAGAAGTTGAACACCACATTATGTTTATCATGACCCGTATACATCAATTGCTGTACAACAGCCAGTGTAGAAATCTTTTCCTTCAGTATCATTTCATTGTCAGCAATATGCTAGTGACATAACCACAGCTCAAACACACTGAAGTAAATAAACAAGTGGTTGATAACATAAGCAACTACACCTGACACCTAGGTATCATGAAAGTTGGCATGTCTTAACATATCCATACATAACATGGTCCAAGTCATAAAGAGAAACACACAGGAAAAGTTTGTTTTTCAGTGCAGTCCACTGAAAGAAATACATAACACTTGCTGCAGAGAGACAAACTTCCACCAAATATGTCCAGCTGATACCACAGGTTGGACTCAAAACATGGCAATGCGCAGATTATAGATTGATCAAGGCCATAAGGAGACATAAAACTTAACTAGCAGATAGTAGGACATTAAATTCAGATTCATCAAGAGAGTCCTACATGTTGGTGATTTGAATATCTACCTCATTTAATGATGAACCCCAATACATAGCATGAAACCAGCATTTAAGGTCAATAGCTCCTGAATTCAGACACTCTTAATGTGCACATAAAGGGCATGGGGAAATGTGGACCTAGAAATGGTGCCATCAGCTGACGGCTGTGAGTTGTTCCCAGGCAGTGAGTTGGACATGTCATACATAACTTAACATTGGGCCTTTGTGTCACACAGCCTGGTTTAGAGCTGCACTGACACATTCAATGGATTCCTCAAGTCTTTTTCAGCCTTGTTTTGAATTTGGTTGATGGATTTGGGAAATATTGCTAAGTGGAGATAAGCAGTGGGCATTGAGCAGCTTGAGAAGGTGGAGCTGCCATTTAATGAGTTCAGTACATGCAACTGACAATCTGTACACCCATACACAATCTGAATACAAATCACAAATTACGTACTTAAATCATGGGATTACTCTTTAATGGTAAAGTCCATATTCTAGTAATACTTTTGAAGGTAGAATCACAGCTGGGATTCAAACCCATGCAATCAGAGAGAGGCACATAATGGCCAGCACAAAACATCAGTAACCAAACCCACACAGCCAAGGCTTCCACTGAAAAGGCAGACAAGAGGTAGTCTGAACAAAATAGTTAGAGTCACCCTCTGAAGTTGGCACAGCTACTATTGCCAAAACTATAAATACACAATTTCTCTTAGAACTTGGGAGATGTGTAACAAATGTTATATTTTGGAGTACACCCTCTTGCCAATATGGACTTTTTCTTACCAAAGAGAACCTGTATTTCAGAAACAAATGAAATCTCACATGCATGTTATAGACATAAAAATCATGTTAAACTCTCTATATGAGAGTTGTTTCTTATGTTGTGAGGCAACTTGTAGTCAGTACTCAGTGGTGTAAATACTCAGCCAGTATCACACCACATAGTTGTGCTAGGAGTGCCAGGATACACTACACATCACCAGAATTACTCGCAATACCAATGTAGTGACATGATGCATAGTTGCCTATGACTCATCAATGGATGCACATGGCACATGTATTACCAACACATGAAAAAAATACAGTGGTATTGATATGATAGTTTGGTATTTTGTTGAAAATGGTAGTGAAAGAGCTTGAGTGAAAGAGTTGGAAAACTTCAAAAACACAACATTATTACCATATTTATAACATTAACCTAACCTGTAAATCTGTGATTCAAATTTGGGAAGGTGTACAGATATATGCTGAAGACATGGGCCCAAAAGCTGGCCTCTGAGCAGACCTCGATAAATCCCTGTTTACAACTTCATGGCCAACTGAAAGGATGCATACTGTTTGTCTCAGATACTTTTTATTACTAATGAAGGACAATGAACACGGAAATAGTGCTGACAAAATAGGAATCAGTGAGACTGTTGGATTTGAACTCATGACCAATGATCAGGCACACAAACTGCTGGACCCAGACAGTCTGGCCACTAATGTCCCCATATATGGGTAAGCAGATGACACAAAGTTACCAGATGAAATGTTTCAGTAGATGGGAACAATGTTTATCTTCACACAGCTAACTTACCTCTGTCGGTCTTTACATTCCACCACTTTGCCAAATGTACCTTCTCCCAGTGTCTGAACTACTTCATCTGAAAACAAGACAATACAAACATTTCAGAATCCTGCCACCATGACTGACCCCTGCAAATCAATGTACCTAGCATTATGGTGCTACCAGTAACCATACTTCAGACTTGCTTCTTCAACATTCAAAATTCAGCCACCAGTCTAGGACATAATTATATTGCAATGAAAATATAAAAAACCCAGTCATTGCAATTATTTATAGCGCAGTGGAGAATCATTTCTTAATCATTGCATACATCCTGTAAGGCAAAACATGTCACAGGCTTCATGGCTAAATTTTGAATATTTGGCTTGCTGGGCCTACAAGCAATTTGTTTGCTTCAGAATTTATCTCATGTCAAGAAATGTGGAGTCCTAATTCTACAGCCAGGCTGGCGTCTTATCGATAACTTATTATGTGGAGTAAATTCTTCAAGGCTAATTTGTTTAACTCTCCGATGAGATGTGACTGGGTAAAAAGAAGGGTCTCAACACGGACAGCTCTCGTGACATCTCAAACCCAGAATCAATATTATTGACTGCTGTACGTTACTAGACCAAAATAATTCATTATGAAGGAATCATTCCTGCGTACATGGAACATTTTTTTCTGGAGGGGTTATCAGAATTTTCCACATCAGCAAGTTGTTGATGATTTTTGTAAGACAAGTCTGCAGTACTGAATAGAGTTTCAAAGGAAAAAGAGTTCAGCCAAATCAGCATTTTAAGAAGCAATGACATATTAGTCCATAGGACGAGCTATGACAAGCACCCCCCAAATACATGGGGAATTTCTGTATTGCAGGCACTCATCCTGTTCACAGGATCCATGACATCAGTAAAAGCAAAAATATCAAAGAAATCATATACTAAGTGTCAAAGTATAATAAAGCATTTTGTATCAGAATTATTATGTATCTGCATGAAACTGAGGCAATGGTAAACAACAATAACATAGATATCCTAGACTAAACGTTACGGAAAGTTGAGTACATCGTGCTTGTAGGACGTCGCCTTGGATAGATCAGGTGACCATCATCGTCATCGTTGACGCTTGGTGCTCTTTCACTTGACTCTGGCTGCTCCTTTCAACCCAACCGCCATTTCAATCCCATCATTCAACAGCATCCACATCGGACAGGAAGTGGTCAAGAGAGCATCGAGGAAAGTCGAATTGTTCAGAGGATGTCAGCGTTCGGGGTTTCAGTCACCGTTACAGCAATTGGGCGGCACGACACGCCACAATCGGCACATATGAGATAAACAAGGGGAGGCAACGCCAAGTAAAGATCGTGTCAAAATTCATGTGTATATTAAACGTCATACACAACACAAGCATATCAACCTAATACTAACAGCAAAGAAATATACTTTACTTCAAATCAATTTTAAATAGGCAATGGATGTTTAGAATATTTCGCCTTGTGTGCTCAGTCTTCAAACTTGATGCTTGACAAAACAGGCTCAGATTTATAGAATCATTATATATAAACCAGATATCTATTCACAGTGCACTGTGTGGTATAAGAAATGAGACCCATATAGAGGACATCATGCTGAACATAAAGAGCATTAACTAAAACTATGTCCTTTCACTATATAAGATACTGAATAACATCACATTGACATGAAGTTTCAATGAGTGAGTGAATGTTGTTTGATGCTACAGTCAATATTCTGTCTCAGTCACAGATGGCAATAATCCAATCTGGACCAGGTAAACCCAATCAGGAAGTATCCATATCACTGGGGTACATTATCAGCCATCAGTCACAGACTCACCCACTGCTTACTGTAATCAGCTCTTATGACAAGACAGCTGTGCTGGGAGCCTACCCCCCATTCTGGCATTGGATTCAATGATTACCCATGTGGAGAGTTAAACCCAGAACTGAAAAATGCCTTGACCCAGCCCTCTCATGGCCTGACCCATTAAATACCTTTGATAAAAATTACATATGTTAACAAAAGAGAAAAACAAATGAGCCAGATGAAGACGTCCTTATCTAAGTATATCACATCCAGCATCAGTTACAATTCAACTGCGAACAGGTTTCACTCCCACATCACAGTGAATGTCACAGCAAGGAAGACAAATCTATAGGCTCAGGTAAACAGTAAGGTACGAGCAATAGTTCTATATTGCATGAAAGGTCCCTTATGTTATACGGTATGTTTCTTCCAGTACCACCACACTCTCCTCCAATGGGTCTGATTTCCTCAATTTCCCAAGCATTGTATTTAGAAAGGATACAATAATATCTGCTTCAAGTTTGAAGTCTAATAACACAAATACATCATAACAACATTAACTAATTATAGCATACATGAGGATAAGTGAATGCTCCCACTCGCAAGTCTAATAGCCATTGGGACACCAACTGGTTATAAATATTTGATGGCACTATCCAATATGACAGAACTGGCCATTCAACAAAACTGACATTGGCATTCAAAATGAGGTCACATTTAACCCTGGCTGATGTTGCTTTGCCAAATCCAGGAAAACACATTATTATTTAACAGTTGTTTGTTAAAGTGTATGTGATATCAGCTGCAGACTTTAACGTCACACTGGGCTTCTAGAAAAAACAGGCAATTGGTAGTAGGGATGTTTTTTCATCTACATTCCAAACATTAGTGCATAAACAACTACACTAAGCTTCTTAATATATTACATTTTCTCCCAAAAGCACAGAGGATGAAGTAGACATAACATAGTCTCCATTGTTTCAACCCCCTTAAGTGTTTTTCAATTAGATTGTATTATCCTGTATTATCTACTGACTTATTATGTGATTATCTGACAAACTGAAGTCCTTGATAGATTCCAGACAGCAAAATGGCATATTCTTCTTTTGATCTAGAGAACAAAGTCCTACATCTGAAGTGCATCAGGGATTTTAGCTTCGATGAATTTGGATTCAAGAATATTCATCCATTTGCTGTGTACGAACTTGAGAAAGATAGTGCTTCCTAGAAGGCCACAGAGACAGCATGCCATGATGCACAGATCTCCCAGCTGCAATACTCTTTTAGACTCTCATGTCACAAGTAGTAGACAATTGTGTTTGTGAAGCCATCATAGTTGTTCTTGTGTGTTACAGATAAAATGAACAATGGCTGGCATCATAGTAAATATGTCATGATGTTATGTCCGAGGAAATTGCAGCAACCAGTTGACAGGCTAATCATCATCCAACTGTACAGTCAATTATCATACTTAACTCTGACATTTGACTGTTGCTGTGGTCTCACAGCACAACAGCTGGTTACGTTAATAACATCCTTATGATTATTTGACATATTCAGGGATCTGCACTGGTTTAGTTTCTAGGATATTTGTCATCAAAATTGTACTGGAGTTTTTTCAATCAAATTTGGTCTCGATATGGATTAATGAAACAAATGAGTGAATCTGGTTTTCTGCCACTTTTAGCAACATTCCTGAAATTTCATGGTTAGGAACAAAGAATGGGCTTCACACATTCTACCCATGTCGGGAATCTCATCACACCTACTGCAATCTATGAAAATGTCTGTAATATTTCTCAAAATCAGTCCATATTTAGTCTACTTTAAGTGTTGCACTGAGCCATATTTCTCTGAGTTTGAAATTTAGTCTGTCTGTAAGCCATATTTCTCTTGCAAAATCAGTCCATATTTAGTCTACTTTAAGTGTTGCATGTGTGTCTTAAGCCATATTTCTCTTGCAAAATCAGTCCATATTTAGTCTACTTTAAAGTGTTGCATGTGTGTATGAGCTGGGATTGCCCTACCTGTTCAAAGAATGTTATCTGGATGGTGAATAACTTGACCCACTCTATTATTACATCACACTTACTCAGTTTCTTAGGATATCAACAGCACATATGGCATTCCACTCATATATGCATGCAATTAACTGACAGAAGAACATCTTTTTCTGCAGTTTATTTAATACTCTCTGAGGACTACACAACAATTTGTCTCTCAGGTTCAGTGTTACCTACCTTAATTCAGTTTTGGTTTTAAATATATTTTATTCATGAGAGGTGAATGGGATTGGGTACAAGTTCTCAAACCTTCTCAATTCAGAGGCATGTTGATATTGATTAACATGGCAGTTATTGACACTACAGCAAGGCAACTTTTTGTTGTTGTCAATGCTGTACATGTAACCTTATTTCCTCTCCCTCATCCATTTCAGAGGCAGTAAAACAAAATTCTATTACTATCAACAGTGTTACAAGGCCATGATGTCTTCCTTCCCAAATCTCATTATAGAACACAAGACCAGTTTCCAAAGCATTGAGACAGGCTATGTGGCTACAATCTGTGTTGGTATAGCAACAGACAGCAATGTGCTGTTTTAGCTGGGTGAGAAGAAATCCACCAAGTTGGTGAAAAGACATGAATTCTTGGAAACATGGCCAGGGTTAGCCATCCTTCTACCTCACGTTACAAACTTTATTACAAAGCCATTGATTGGAAGAGCCAGCCTTTGAAGACCTGATGGGAATAGAGTTTACATCCCTGATACCAACAGTATCATCTTCTTTGGGACCTGTTACTCACTAAATTGCTCCGATTATTTCCCTTTAGTGCAACTTTGTTATTATTACACAAACAATAGGGCATTTGTCCCGTTAACTACCCAGACAAATGAAATAATTTCATACTATCACCTTTAAATAAAAATATTGCTAAGTGTGACTTCAAAGTGTGCAAAAGCTGGAGTAATGAACCAAATGACCTGTCTTCTGCCTATGTCAATTTTGTAGAAATACCAAAATGTTCAGCTTCATACCCAAATTGGGCATAACTGCACCCATATTTTAAAAACTTTTGATAAAGTTATTTTATTTGAATTAAATCGGGCCTATAGGTTTCAGAAATTTCAGTCCTTTTCAAACATTTATCATGATACTTTCGGAACCTTTATCCACTCTTAGAACAAGCACATACTTAATTCACAGAATAGTCACCAGGATGAGAAACTTTCAAATCCAGCCTTTGTTCTGTCAATAAATATGTCCTAGTCACATCAGGTGGTGGTTCCAAAAGCTGAATTAAATATTTCAAATACCAAATTATTTCCAAAGTCAGTGTTCATGAAGAAGCCAGGGATGAATGGTTAGGGGTGAGACTGTCCTATATATAGGCTTGCGAGATGAGAGACTGTACTGTAACCTGACACCAAGGAGGCCATCACATATCATGCCGCTACCTACTTCATGTAATACAGATGTATCAATGGAAGGCCAATGTCTACTCAAATCTCAGACATACTTTTAGGAACACTACCCTCCCTCCTGTGTAATTCCTAGCCACTGATGTAAACATACCAACCTTACGTTGTACTCGGCTATGAATATGCATGAATCTGACATTTCGTGTTTGTCGGTGCCAGTTTTCTCAGTCTGGTATTGAAACCAGCCCAAACAGACACAGGATCAATTTTCACACTCATCTCATAAATGTGTTTTATATCAGCATGGGAATAAGAAGTTTAGGTACGTTTAGACCAAGCTTTGAGTGAACAGTTCCATAAGAATTTGAGGTCAGTGTTGCCAAATACATAGCGTGCTTTGTGATGATTCATGCCTGATCATAGAGGGTATCTCTGTCTTACGAGCAATGGGCCAGTTTGAAAATATAGATAACCTGTATTTTTCTGAATCATAACGCAATTCTGAAGAGTTCTTTTCACAAAATTCAAAGCCATACTTTTGAGTGATGAAATACCAAACAAACATAGCCATGTCAGAAAAACATACTTTAAAATACTTTCTGCGAAAATGATATTTATCCCCAAAGACAGAAAGATACAATATATGAATATTTTCAGTTTAAAGAAAGACACAAAAATGAAGGTTTTCACTACCTTGACCACCCTCTCATGCATGCCCTACATAAACTTATCAACTTCCTGTCTCTTCTATTACACACTATGGCCCGAGTAACCCACGACCACATACCTTGTTAGGCAAGTTCCGCTTTGATTCAGAAGCAGGCATATTTTTCCCCCATTCTTTAACTTCCTTGAAAGCAGCTAGAACATCTACTCTCATGTCGAAAGACTGAGCCAGGAGCCTGCTCCTCCTGAGAGAAGGTAGTAAGCCAGCCTAAAGGTATGAGAGTGACAGGAGGGGAGCCAATGCCTCCAATGGGTGCTGCTTCAAAACCAACTCAGCCAAACTTTGTGTAGCACCCCAACAACAAAAGCACTGCTGCACCAGCTATGAGTTTTCCTTCCCAGAATATCCTCTGTTGTGTAGATGGTGTATATATCTATCTCTCTCCCCCTCCAAATTGTTCCACAGCCTATGGAGCACTGGCTTTCTCACAGAGCACACTGCCTACATCAGAGAGGGGGTGAAACCTCATCCACTAAACTATGGGGGATGCTAAAAATAGACTGGTAGCAGCATCTGCTAGAGTTTCACTCCCCAAGCACCACATGGGTGCAGGCAGGAGGGAGGGGAAAGGGGAGGGGGAGGCAGAATTGCTGGGGTGTCCTCCTCCTCCTCCCTTCAATACAAGATGGCTGGTGAAGATGGATATAGTTCCAGCAGCTCCTGTCGTTATCTATAGACCACTGGGAGGTTGTTGGGACCCCTGCAGGCAGGACAGGCAGCAGTGTAAACATGGTGGTTATACTTACATGGACATACTACAGTCATTCCATAATGGTACTACTGATCATGGGGTATTAACTTATTTAGCTTCTTAGAGATATTTCTGGCATTAGTCTGAAGAGAGATATGTGTCAAACTATGAATGTCTATTACACACTTAAACTTGAAACATATTAAAAGTTATTTTGTTAAAGATCAGTACCATAATATGCTAACATACTTTATGTAAAATATGACAATTCTTGTTTTACAAGAACCAGCTTTTTTCTAGCAATGGCTTTGATACCAATCCAGATACCACAGTAGCAAAATAATGTGTATTTTGTAGTTTTTAAAATTTAAATCACAACAATATATTGTTTTCATGACACTTCAATTTACTACATTCCTATTAAGATTTATTTGAAATCAGTAAATTAATATTTTGAGAAAAGTTGCAAAGTTTCATGAAATTACTTGAAACATTTGTCTGAATGAAGATTAATAAGCAGCAATACATCTGGCAAGGGACCATTACCTAAGTCTGTGAATAGACAGCTGGATGGTCCTGCATGCCTGCAATCATCTCCAGGACTCTCACCACCCATATCCTAATCAGAATATTCAGCCCATTTTCCATTGATCCCAAGAGAGGCAAGCACTTCTGGGTCAAGACAGTAACCAAAATCATCCGAAATTTGATTCTGTCAATATGCCAGAATTCCCATACTGTTCTCTCAAAATCTGTCACTTATGTCAGGTTTGAGGAATAAATTGGCCAATATCATCAACAGAGATGTGTCTTCAATGGTGGCAAGAGTCTTGGAGAAGATCTTTATGTTTACTTTGTGAAAGAAAATGCTGACCATTGAAAACAAAATTAAGAGTTGCCAATGTGTCAGGTTTTCTCAAGATGCCTCTATTAACACATATCTCCAGTAACACATATCTCATCATACTCCATGAAAGGGATTTGATGACAGTACATGGAATACTGATACTCAAAAGTAACTATCAGACAGACCATTTCTCTGTCGTACTATTGGAAATAAAATCCCACACATCTGAAGGCAAATATGAGAATAAGGCTAAACCTTTTTACATCAGGTACTCTGTGTATGAAGCAATGTAAAAACTTGTCTTCCTACTATTATTTAGTTACATCTATCACCTACTCCTATCATTAAACACTGATCTATGGTATTCCTATCTATGATCCTTTAGAATCTAGGTAGTCTCTAAGTCTTTAATAAAAGACTGCCTGATTTCAAACACTTCTCCTATTACATGTACATTTACACTTCTTCAAAGAAGTAAAAAATCGTCTAGAATTAGGATATGCATGATAATAGTAAAACATATATACTCTAAATTTAACATTGTTTTTATATATTAGGAAGGAAAACCACTGATCTATAAATATACTACTGAGACTTACAATTACATGCATATTTATCAGAGACGATTTATTCAAGCAAGTTAAAGAGTCCAACCTGATTTGTGAAATTCTGTGGTCGTCCCATTCAGATCACATCATTCATGTCATAGTTGTGTTCTGTCAACCATCCGTAACATCTGCATACCTTAATTTGGCCATTATCACAGTAAATCCTCTCATTGTGGCGACACTGGAAAACCTGCCTGCAAATCCCTCTCATGTTATAATGTTCACTAGCACTGCTGTTAACAAAGCTGTCAACTCATGTGACAGACCCACACCTCCAACATCCAGTGAAACAGAGAAACAAGTGAAGGCGTTATTTACATTCCTGGTAATAGTGCCTGTCAATCAAGAAGCCTGTCAGCATAATCACCCATTAATCTGTGATATGATGTGATGTCATCCTGTGGGTATGTTGGAGGACAGCTCCACCAGATGTGTCCCTACTGCATCCTATGTTTTGACCTACATCACATTGCTCCTAGACCCGCAATGTGAAGCACGGCCTTCCTGAGAGGAAGCTTCCCAGTTGCAGGCTAACCATGGGTGTAAGAATGTACACATCGGAAGTACAGGTCAAGTGTCACATTTGCAGACCAGCCAAACACAGCAGGATCAAGTTGCTAGTGATGCATGTGCCAAAATGGCATTTTTTCATCATGGAGCACAAGTCTATATCCAGATATACAATTCATCACATCACTTAGTTTAATATTGATCCCCAGCTGCCTGATTATGAAGATGTATCAAAGATATGCTTGTTCACATGTAACGCCCATCCTGACATCTTCATCTTCCTGAACAACTGCATCACATGATCACCATAACATAAACAACACATTGAATCAAGAAATCACAGAATGAGCCATCTGCCCATGTCCGGGGTAGATCTTCCAAGGTAACAAAATCACAGATTCACCAGAATTGTTCTAACAGCAGAAGGAGGAGAAACAGCTGAGTGGTCCAAGACAGAAGTCAACAGTTGTGGTCGGGTTCGATAAAAACCATCAATATCACCAGTTACAGAGTCTCGGGCCAAGGACTGGCGCCTTGTTTGGCAGGCGAACAAGCCTACAGTGTCCATCTGCTGAAGTCTTCCCCCCATCAATTCCACAATCAACATTCACTATTAGTCGTATGCATAGCACAGCTAGCCCACCACTTCCCCCATCTCTATTCACAAATCAATATCCTAACTTGACTGAGCACTAGTCAAGGCGAAATTTCTCTACATCCATTGCCTAGTCCAAGAGCTTGGGCTACATTTTTCCCAAAATGCTCATGTGCAAATTTCGTCACACGTTTTTTGATTCCCCTCTCAAACACAGAAACCTAGACAGAATAATGAACCACCCATCATTTGTATGCATGCTGGGCTATTACTGTGTCATTGGAGGACTATTTGATAAAAGACTGGTGTTAGCCTACAAGGCCACGCCTGTTGTGACTGTTTAAGAGTACCATCAGCTACGCAGGCTTTTGCTGCTGTTGTCCAACATTTCTAAATACATTGAAGTAAGTATTTGCAGCTGCAAACAATCAAACCGTAATTTGTTATACTTACGTGGATAATACAAGTCATGCAAATTACACTTACCATGTACATAAACAGCAGGGGTTCCAACTTGCCAACACTAATCGGTGAGTGTCCTACACATATTTCACTACTATATCAGTTAAACAACTACTGAAATCTACTGCATGTGTAACTAGTGACTTTCACTAACATCTACTGTTTTGCACTGATGGTAATTTTAACAATGATAATTTAGTTCCGTAACTCGTGCTCTGTAACTACAGCCATATGTTATATCATCACTGGTCTTGTATCACATTGCAACAGATGATGTAGACTTATTAAAATTTATGATGCAAACAAGCAAATAAGCCAAATGCATGTATCAAATTTTGAAATTTCACTAAAGTGTTCATAGATATGAATACATTTTGCATTTTACTCTTATGTTGAGTGATGCATTAACAGTTAAAGTGATGACAATCATCCCTGTCATTGAATTTCATCCAATCTGTGATGTTTGAAAAACTTGATCTATGAAATACTTGACGTGTGATCTGTAAACTGTATAATTAGTGTAATTTATTACTTTTCCCTACCTTATATGGATTCCTAACCTCTTAACCTTGCGTTTCTTGCCTGGTTAGATCTAGCCTATATCTCACCTGAGTCTTGTTGGGAACACCATAACCATTCCTTTCTCCTCCCTAGTCTGTGATGCAAGTTGTACCTTCCCACCCACCCCAAGATGATACCAACCTGACTGACCCCGTTTAGGAGTCCTTCTGCTTCCTATCGTTAACACTGTCCTACGCAACTATGTGTACAACTACGTTACGTCATGGACTTTTCCTCTACACAGATACAAGAACCCAAGGACGACACCTACCCGACTTGAGCCTGAGGAATACGACCGTCTGTTCCTGCGATGATGACGGTGACGTCTGCGATGACGTCTGCTGTCAGAACGGTATCGTGAGCTGTGGTCCGATTCTCCATAATGGTGGCTGCGACTGTGGTGACTTGGGCTCAGGGATCTGGATCTGGAGTAGGAACGTTCTCTGTGGCGGTGACGGCGCTCTCGATGACGACGCTCACTGCTGAGTCGACTATAAACCAAATAAATAAATACATCTTTAGAAATTGAAATAGCAAAATAGCATAAAAAGGAGAGCCTTTTTTCCTTTCATTCTGAAAGATAAAGTGTAGGTACAGAATAATAATAATATAAGAAACATTCCTCTCCAGCCTATCAGGATAACTTTAGGAAAGTGCATTCATATTCAGTGAAGCAGAAAACTTTCACAGGTCTAGAAGTTGGGACTGTTGATGGGTCATGCAGGATGAGAACATTTTCACATTGTTACCTCCATGGATTACTTTCAAAATTAACTGACAATACAACTAAACAGCAATCACAGGAACTTAGCAATTTATTACTTGTGAGAGAGCGACAAAACTGGATTGGAAATTCTGGGACTTTGTTGTTTGAATGTCATTGTAGTTGACATGGATATTGTGTAGCAAGATAGGTTATAAGCTAGGAATATGCTTCATAATTACATTATTTATCACAGGATTATCTGGCCAAGACATATTATGGTGACTATTTGACATGGCTCTGACTGACTGCAGTGCAAAACAAGACGAAAAAGGAAAACACTGAAGGGTGAGAACATTTAAGAGTTTAATTACACCAGTGCCAACATGACCTGCCTTCACGTGTGAACTATATGACTGGTTCTTTTCGATATATGCTGGAGGGAAGGGTCATAGACACACAAATGTGAATTCACCACTGTTTGGCTACAACAGTAACAAATAAGAACTAACAGAAACTAGTTTTACTGTCCAACCCTAATGTCCCCTCGGAACACTCAAAACTAGGATGGAACAACCTCCATGATGTCAGTGCAAGACATTGTAGCTCATTGTAAGACATGAACAAATTTTCAAAGTTTGATCTTTTCCCCTAATTAGATCATGAAGTTTGGTGCTCATGCTAGTGAAAATATTTTCAAACAAAACGAGAGTCATCAGAAGATGACAAATTTTCCTGATCCTAAAACAACAAAGTGACCAGAATTCAACATATCCTTAAAACTGGAAATGGATTGAGGATTTGACTGACTAACTGACAATGACTGAGGATTTGAAGATATGACAATATGAAAATTTGAGGATTTGAAGATATGACAATATGAAAATTGATGGACAGACTGGAAGGACAGCTGAATATGTTGATTGCTATATATCCCCTGTTTGTATTCAATCCCATTGACAAAGATATCATTGTTAATAATAAAAATGATATTCTGAAGGAAATATACAAGCTTCTTAGATAAGGAACAGATAAATCATAAAATGACAAAACCAAAAGTAATAATGTTGTTGGATACATCCACAACTTGAACAATATTTCAGTTCTGGGCACCATGACCTGGGAAGAATTGACGCTGGTCTTTGAAAAGTTTTGCTGTTTAGAGCCACAATCAGCAAAATCCAAGTTATTTGAAAGCTGTTTGCAAGCATTCGGGTCTGGACCAGACAATCCAGTGATTAACATCATCAGAGCCTATCTAGACTATTAGATAAGGATCACAAGAACCAGCCCAGCAGAGCTGGATTTAAGCAAACCTTTATAGTGCTGAAATTGTCCACCTTGAAAATATTTCGCCCATATGACACTCAGACACTGCTTATACTGACTCTGGTTTTATAGTGCTAGCCCACTGTCATGCTGAAGCATGAATACCCATTAATACTGACTACCAGTCCTTGTACCCATTAATGCCTAGCACCAGGCAGGGGACCAACAAGTACCATATTTTAACGTCTTTTGTCAAACCTTAGGTAATAGCCTTGTTGCATCATATGAAAACAGGTTGCACCTGCTGCTCAATATAAATTTACACAAGTGTTTGCCACTAATATGGCAATGTCCCCTGCTGCTAAAGAAGAACTAAATATTTATAACATATTTACTACTTCTTATATTTTTGTCAGATAAAAGATGACTGAAATGACTGGTGTCTGTATAATCACCCAATGTAGGCTGTCAACATAATTGAAGACATTGGGTACAATGTTTTATGACATATCGCGTTAACAAGAGTTTGAAAAGCGGTCAAAGTTGCATGGTGACGTTGAAAATAAGGTCAAGGTCACCAATATCAACTGTTGTCTGTGTAATCCCCGAGTGTAGGCTGTCACCAAATTTGAAGACATTGGGTACAATAGTTCCTCAGATACTGCGTATACAAGAGTTTGAATAGTGTCATGGTGACCTTGAAAATAAGTTCAAGGTCACCCAAATCGACTGGTTTATGTGTAATCCCCCAGTATATGCTGTCACCAAATTTGAAGACATTGGGTACAACAGTTCATGAGATATCGCGTTAACAAGAGTTGGAAAAGTGGTCAAAGTGTAGTGGTGACCTTGAAAATAAGGTCAAGGTCACCCAAATTGACTAGTGTCTGCGTAATCCCCCCAATGTAGGCTGTCACCAAATTTACAACAATTCATGAGATATCGCGCTAACAAGAATTGGGACGTACGTACGGCCGGACGCTGCTGAATATATAGTCCCCCGTTCCGTGTTGCGGCAGAGGACAATAAAATGCTGGAGTTTTGGTATTGATAATAGAGAACATCATTGTAACATTTTTTTGTGGGTCTGGTAAGTTTATTTTATCTAACTTCATAAACAATAACAGTCATTCAATCACAGGTTTTGTAGTCATCATAGTACCTGCTCCAAGCCACTTACTCAGCATTCTGTTTTCCAGCTAAGTCTGAGTTCGTTGAACAGCAAAGTATTAACTATGCATTGGGTTAGTATAAATATCAGGTTGCACTTGCAGTTTCAGGTTGCACCAGTGCCCCAGTGCAAGGTCTAAATGCTTGAATCAAGCCCTGCCAAGTAGTGGTGTTCCGATTAATTGAAATATTCGAAGATTGGTCGCAGTGACCAAACGACCAAGCAATCGATCACATTTTCTCATAATCGAACATAAACGATTTTGGAACTACTGTTTTAGAACTTGACAATGGAACATGAAGTTGTCTAACAATTCAATTTTTCACTAACTGATGACTGAATATTTCTCTAAGACTCAAGGAAGTTTATGTTCATGATGGTAAGTAGATCATGTTATACAATCATCAATGGATAGAAAAATCATCAATTGTGAGATTTCAACCAATTCCCAACACTACTGCCAAGTCAGCAAGCCTGGCCACCTGATGCTGTCTGTCGCAAGAATAGGTTCTTCAAAACTAATTCTAACCTGTATCTTGATTGTACCAGTACAGGGCCCTTATTCTCAATACGTTCGTAGCCCTAAGAATTCGTAAGTTTGATCGTAGCCAATGAGTTAAGAATGGGCTTAACAGGGGTGGAAATAACCCATTGCCCGACGTCCCAGTCCACTGCTTTTTTCCTGTCGGGCAAGCAAATTTGTATATCACGCTGTACCGGTGTCCAGTTGACTTTCCAATGTTAATTATGTAGCTTATTTAAAAAATGAACAGGAAAATCAGCCGGTATAGTGGAAAAATTATCAGGGCAGGTTATTTTACATGTGCCACTGTACCGGAGTACACTAGCAATTTGAAAGTTATTTCCACCCCTGCTTAAGAAGTTTGTAGTGCTACGAACGTTTCGAGAATAGCTAGTCTGGTCAACAAGTGCACCATAGTAAAAAGTGTATATCAGGTATCAGAAATTGGATGCAAAGAAGAATACAATAACATTTAGTCCAAAACACACTATACTGTCCTCAATTTTTAATCTGAAGATATATGGATATGACACAGAGGATATGACTGGAAATATTTCATAGCTAGCCATTCCTACTGAAAACATGGGTGTAAATGTGTACATCCAGGTGGTACAAAGGGGATGGTTGGTCTATTTACATCCCCAGTCTGTTCAGTCTGGGAGAGAATGGTTTTGCCTGTGTTAAAAAGAGCTTACCAATTATATCTTTCACTGTCGGTGTGACAGGCACATTGTTCAAGATGTACACTGATTTTCATTGGGAGAAATTGAACTTTTCATCATATATGTATTTTTAAATCTGTGAGATTTGGTCTTACCACCTGACTTGAAAAATGATTTGTGTCAGTATGCATTCTATTGTGGTGTATATTTTAAACCGCTGTAATTATACATTTGACAGCCGAGAAATAATTCCCAGTGTTAAGCTTTGCAAAATATTTTGATCAATAGTACATATAACTTTTAAATATATTTAAAGCACATATTGACAAAATATTCATCTAAAGGAAAACAATAATATATTAGTATAGCATGCAACTGTTTCCAAAATGGATAAGTATGTTTCCCCCTTATTTTATAACGACAGTGCCATGCTACTGCTGGAGTCAAACAGTGTTTTCTTGTCACACCATGTCACAAAGCTGTAAAATCAGTTTAAGAACTGAATGCTCAGCATTGCAAACAGTTAGGGTTCCACACGATGTACACTGTGTACAGAATAGATGTACAAAAACAATACTGTTCCTCTATCAGGATGCAAAGTAATGTTCATTTTAACAGATTCTTGACAATATATAATCGGTCCTGTATTTAAAATAATCATCAAATATTTCAGTAGAGTACAATACATAATTTTATCACTTTACATGATTCTCATATTATCCCAGCTATGTAAGTCAAGGTTACATCCTGGTCAAGAGTATGTTTGCTGTGGAATATATTCACTTATGTTTGATACAAATGTCATACTAGTGACCAATCAGAATCTCGGCTTCATGACTTCATCTTGGTGATAACAGACATGTTTTGAAACACTCCCAATCCATTAGCGAGTTGTGCAGTGAATTCAAAGCTGTACCAGATCATATTGGAACACCGTTAGTCCGTTACACACAAAGACTGACTGTATGTACTCAGTTGAGTGATCCCCCTTACGTTCATGATACCTGACCAGCTCTTTACAAAAGGTGAAGATGGTCATGAGATTATCTCTTATTGATTCCTTCTGTTAACATCATATTATAGCAATCTACCATGAATAGTGGTGAGAGAATTATCTGCCAGCAACCTATTGATTTGAATACTGATAAATCTCAATGAAATCA